TGCACATGACTGCATGTGTGTGTGCACATGCACATGTGGCCACTTACATACACTGCCAAAATAAAAGGAGCAGATAAGGAAAAAAAAAAATTTACTGCATCCCGATACCAAGTAAAATGGTGTTGACTTTAAAGAAGGCTCAAGATTATATAATAAATGTGCATTAAATTCAGAGTAACTAGCACAAAAAAGTTAAACAAAAAGGGGTAAGGTAAAAACTACAACACTGCAGTAAAACCAGTATGGCTTTTGAAACTAATTTAGGCCTACAATTGTTGCGTGATGATAAATTTATTTGACAATAGTATCCAACATGCTAGATAATGACGATGATGCTGATTCTGGAATTGCTGTCAAAAAGAGAAGCATCAATGAATAACACACACAGAGAGAGAGAGAGAGGTACATACCAGTGCAAAGGACACAAAGACGAAGGTGAACAGACTTTCACTGATATAACCTCTTTCTTTCCCAAGTTCCTAGAATTATCAAAGCATTGATAAAAGAATGATGTTACTTCAAACAAAGAACTGAACAATTTTTTTGAAGTTTTAGTTAATCAAGTGCAGATACAAGTACACACCGGCAGGATCATAAACCCAAGATCTTGAAGAGTTGGTCCAGGTCGATGTAGATAATGAACTCCTCGTGCAGCCAGACCGTGAATATACTAGAGAAAGACAAAAGCATTGAATGAATGTCCAGTCTGATTCATGTATATTCGGTGGAACCGCTAATCAAATACTCACCACGCGTAATGAAAATAAATTGAAAGAAATAGTTTCAGTAAATTAATCACATTAGTCCACAATTGATTACTAAAGCTGATATAGATGTAGGCATAAGATTAAAGGGGAACAGCCATGAGTTAATTAAGAAATAAAAGGAAACAACAAGAAAGTTCTACCATAAAAGTGTATATAGACAAAAAAAAAACACACATGAAGTGTTTAGATGAGAAAAACAACCGTTGGACAGAGTCCAACAAAGAAAAAGTGACCATGAACCAAGCAGAACTTCTTTAATGATTATGCTTCGTTTTCAAAACAGAATCTTGCAGCAGCATTTAGTTAGAGCTCTAAGATAAGAATATTTAAAATGACAAAAGTAAATATCAACTTGAATAAAATGATGCAGCTAAGCGTAGTTTGTCCTAATTTTATCAGGAAAACCACCAAAAAAACTCTAATATTGCCAAAAGTGCAAACAAGAAATGAAAACAGATTACTCATAAAGTTTCAACAAGAATTTTTAAGGGAAAAGTCCATCAAAGGAAAGCAGCCCATGATTGTAAAATCATTATATTATGAGTTTCTCAAACCACTGCACGATGAATCACTGTAAAAATGCGAACTAACACATTACAAGTTATGCTATCACTTTCAGGAAAACAAACTACGTCTCATGTAGCACTCAGCTCACCATCCGATCAACGGCTAAACATCATTTACAATGACAGATATGTTTAAATTATTAATAAACTAAAGATTCCTATCGAGAAGGATGTCAGACCAAAACTGAAACCAAGATGAATTCACACTAATTTTGTCCACAATTTCCATCTGAATAGTTGTTTGGTAATCCATCGAGGTCATCTGAGGACACAAATTAATACCTGAAATATGATTCCTGCTAGTAGCAGCCTCCACTTCTCCATAAGAAGCTGAAGTTCCACAGATGTCTCCATGCAAACCTTCCTCCATAGCTGCAGAAAAAGGAGAACATCAGACAAAAAATAAAACTTTGAAAGGGGGAAAAGCTATGAAATTTAGATGGAAAAGGAGGGACTTTGGAAGCCTCGCGAGCAATGTAAAGCGGCATAACGAGCAACCAAAAGTCCAACCACTCGCATACTCGTTTAATAACCAACCTGTTTTGCTCTCCACATGATCCCTCGTCTCTCCTGCTGCTTCCCAAACACCTTCCTTGAGAATTAATCGATCGACCAGACGGTGCAAAAAAAAGACTCCTGGTTTCGGCTTTCTCTCACCGATCCGAGACCTTTCTCGGCTCCCAGGGGTCAATTCGATCTAGAACCAAGACATATCATTCAACGAAGGAAAAAGAAAAAAAAAAAAAAGGTAACCCCCTCTCTTCTTCCTCTAGAAGTACATATATTTATACAGAGAGATGAATCGTGGACGTCAGACGGCCGGGTGGGCTCCCCCTCCTCTTCCCTTTCTTAGAGAACGCGGTCTTCACACGGATCTCTGCCTGCCTTGGAAGGTTCGATATTTTCCTCTCTCAGCCGGCGACGACCGAAGTGGAAGAGGACAGAGACCCAAACCCAAGCGAGGGAGGGAGGGAAGAAGGAAAGGGGGTAAAGGAGAGAAAGAGGGCGACCAGAAAGGGACGCTCCGCTCAGTCGATAACAAATTAGAATGGCGAAGGCAGAGACTGAGACATCACACAACCCTTAAAATGTATTTTCCTTCTTTTTTTCTTTCATTAAAAAATAATAATAAACTATAAATAATAAATAAATAAATCATGCTTTCCACAACAGCTCGAGGTGTCAAGATGCATGGAGCATGGCCTGGTGTGGTGGTACCCCACCACCACAGTTCCAGGTCACGTTCGTTGTCACCTCGTGCCGTGCACTCCAATCTCGACCCGACCCATTAGTTGTACCCGAGAACGACCAATCATTCCGACCCACCATATGTGTCCAGCGATGGTTTTAGCTCAAATTCTCCTCTTCAAAATATTAATTTCGTATAATAATTATTATTTATAGTAGTAAAATTGTAGCTGCAATATGTAAATCCTCCTCATTTATTTAAGTTCGTTCGTCGCGGAGATGTGGTTCACTGCTGCGGTTACCAACCATCCGCAACGAGCGAGCCGGCGAGCAGCGATGACGGAGGGCTATTCATCGACGGGAGGTATGTATGTATTGCTACGAAACCCCCTCTCTCTCTCTCTCTCTCTGTCTCTGTTCCTGTGAGTCGGTCAATTATTTGGTACTCCGCGCTCCCCCTGGCTTCGAATTCAAATCTCGCGAAGCGGTTCCACGCCCGCGCCGGGCCCGGCCGATTCCCCTGTCCCCATCGGCCAACAACACCCCGTCCGTAGGCGGAGCGGGATTGAGTTGTCAACATCGGCCTCGCGATTGATGAAGATTTGAGGAATATGGATGCCAGGGTGAAATGAATGCTGCCCTCGCGTGACTTGTCAACGGGACACCAGCGAGCAAGGGAGACGCCGAGGACAAGGGGATCTGAGCGCGGACGGAGCATGTGGCTGCGGTGGTTTTGGTGCAGGGTTTGTCGATGGGAGAGATGGGGGAAAACCGATGCCTGCAGAGCCTAGACGTCGATAGAGTGTTCGCCTGCTCGCCCTGGCAACGTGAATCTGGTCGTGTTCGGAGGGTCAAAATAATGGAATCGGGGAATCTGGTCGTGTTCGGCTGCCCGCCCTGGTAACGTGACAAAGGAAAAGTAGGGTGGTCTCGGTTCCATTGCCTTCCCCAGCTCCTGTCAGTCCAATCCATCCAAGGGAAGAGCCCATGCGGTTTCATCTGCCATGGAATAATCTGATGTCTCTACATCCCAACTCGATTTTGAGAAGATCGATCAAGTATCGGAGTCCTTCACTTCAACCTAAACTTATGAAACTTAAGATCACGAACATGATCATGATCTGCCTTAGCTGTCATTACGGTTCATATCGAACCGAACCCAAATCATAACCTAACCAATTAACAAACAAAACTGAACCGAGTCAATTATTTTGTAGGTTCTGAACTGTTTAGAAAATTAAAGAAAAAGATTAAAATATGAATGAGTTATTTCGTGTAGTAGTTAGTACTTGATAATAAATAGTTAATGATTTGGGTTTAAATTTTCATGAAATCTTTTTTTAATGACCTTAATGTTTGAGATCAGACCAAAGTATTAGATGACATTAGGTACATCATTTTAATCGACCCGTCATCATGTCACATATCATCTCGTTAAGAATGCATGTTCTGAGGATTAACGTGGACGTCTGAAACCGTCGAGAAACTTCCAAACTTGGCAAATAAGACTGTAGTAGGAAGTCGATGTCTGTATCTTTAAAATTCATCCTGTATACGATCTCGATGCGGATAGGATATCATGAAGGGTTGCATGAACCCACTACGTCAGCACCGCGTCATCAATACCTTGAGGGATACGTTTTGCGTGTACTCATCTCCATTAGTTTGGGAAAGACATTGACGTGGCATCCAATGAATCACGCTACACACAGTTTGATGAGTGTACTTAATATGAGATGTTCAAATCGATATGGATAAGCTAGGAATATTTTCGTCCCCACGAGAAAATATATATATTTTTGTGATAATAAAAAACAAAAGGAGCTCAAAATAGTAAAATCCAAAATTAAAGAAATTGTAAAAAATGCATGCATATATGGCCTTTTTTTAGAACCTTAAATTTTTAATATAAATCTTTTGGATGAATTTTTGAAAAAAAAATTCTTTTTAGGTTTTCCCTGAAAAATGTGCTCATTTGATTTTTCAAACGGCACCATTTTTATCTAATATTTAAAATATTCTTTTTTATATTTTTCTATGGGTTTGTCTTTAAAATCATTCCAGTTATAATGTTTGTATACTATGTTATAATATTTTCAATAATACCAAAAAATACTCCAATAAGTACAAAAATATCATAACATAATAATTTTAGACAAATATTAGGAAAACACTATAGTGAAATAAAAAATACTATAACATGATGTTTTTATTTTCAACAACACTTAGAAAACACAGTAATGCAGTACATAAATAATGTCACATTATTTTTTACTATGTTATAGTATCTTTAGATATTACTAAAAATACTATTAACATAATATAAAAATATTATAACTGCACCGATTCACCTTGTGGACGAAAAAGAAGGAAAAGAGATAAAAATACGTATGTGATATATGATATTTTAGGTATTAAATAAAAAAAATAGGGACACTTTCGAGATATATATATATATATATATATATATGCTTGCTCCTCGTAATCACCGTCACAAGCCTGAAGCAGTTTGTTTGATTGCTACCGCTCTGTTGTGGTTCTAAGAGGGATGGCAGGGAGCGATAGGAAGATCGGGGTGGCGCTGGACTTCTCCAAGAGCAGCAAGGCAGCGTTGGGTTGGGCCCTCGGCAACCTCCTCCGCAAGGGCGACACCCTCATCCTCCTCCACATCATACCCACGACGGGCGACGAGGCCAAACACCTGCTCTGGTCCCAGTCCGGGTCCCGTGCGTGCACCCGCTCCCGGCTCCCCTCCCTTGCCTCGGCCGCTCACCTTCTCCCTCTCTCTTCCGTTGTGTCGTGCAGCTCTGATCCCTTTGATGGAGTTCCGGCAGCCGGAGGTGATGAAGCACTACGATCTCGATGTCGACTCGGAGGTCCTCGATATGCTCGACACTTCTTCCCGGCAGAAGGAGGTCTCGTCTCTTTCTTTGCCCTCTTTCTTCCCTACCACAGTTCACATCTTGTATCTTCTTACACTCTCTCTGATTGATGCGGTGGTCCCCATCCCTAACATCAAGGATCAAATCTTTCAGGCGACCATCGTTACGAAGCTGTACTGGGGAGACGCGAGGGAGAAGCTGTGTCATGCTGCGGAGGATCTGAATCTGGACTTGCTGGTCATGGGTAGCCGGGGTCTTAGCCAGATCCAGAGGTAATTAATGCTTTCAGTGCGTGCTTGTTCACTCTTGGTATCAAGTGTTTCTTTACTTCCTTCCCATGCCATTGCCACTGCCACAGAACATAATGATGATAGGCATGTCATCTTTCAAATAGGTATGTGTACGAATTGTGCATAATTTACATAGATCATTATTCCTAAATAACTAGGAACACTTTTTGTTTGGTGTTATGAAAGAATCTTTGGTTACCATTGTTCAATTCATTGGTAGTCATTTTAAGGAAAATGCGGGTCTTTCTATAAAATGTCATTGCTTCAACGAGCTTGATGTGGCCCAATGATTTGCAGTAGGATCACATTAGATGTACAAACTCTTTCTGCAATGTCGTGTCTTCATGTATGTAGCATAATGATCTCTTTATCATGCTACTTAGCATTTGTAATGTGTCATTAGAATATCTCCGAAGCATAAATTACATAGCCCTGTCCGATCTTTCAAAATATGTGTCGATGATGATTATGTATGTGATTCTTAGGAAACAATCTATTGTAAAACAAAAACATATTGTTGAGGTGCTTTGGAGTCTCTCCTTCAGACACAGGGCCTTATATGGAGTGATGAACCATATGGTTAAGCCCTATTACTATTGTCAGAACCTAACATCTACAATACTAACACTAGATGCTACCTCATTTCTGCTCCGAATAGCTTTGTTCATATACTGTGCCGAATCGACCTTGTTTTTCCTTTGTTATGGTCAACATGGCTTCTTTTAAGGTAATGATGGTAGGTCGTAGATCCAATCATAAATTTTTATTAGATAGTATATGAAGAAACATCAAAAGTAAAACACATCAGATCAAAGAGATTCCCAGGCGAGCAACTTGAGAGGGTCGACAAGGATGGAGCCAAATCAACAGGAAAGGACTTAGGCCAGCCAATTATAATGCAGATATCATCTATATGCTTTGTCAGGCTAAAGTTGGCTCCTCAAAGACAATGCTGTCACAGGTTTTCCAGATGTCAAAGGTGAATATAAGCACAAAGCAACAAAGACTATGGTAGAACAGTCAAAAGATGAATCAAGCTAGCTGGGAAAAAGGGTAGGGATAGTTAGAAACCTAACTCGGGGAGGTAGGTCTGTCCATGTGAGTAAGGAGGATGTTTGTAATTGTAGAATTATGCAGATCCACAATGCTTATGAAGCCTAAGGGTTAGCCTGCTGTGAAGAATTGCCACGGTGCAAAATGACAAATACATTAAAGTTAATCGATAAGGTCTACGATCATTCAAAAGAGTAAAAGATGAATTTGGTAATCTTCAGTTTCGGCCCATATCAACTGTTTTTAGAGTACATAAGAAATTGGATTTGTCAGTAGTGATGCCATGAAGTACATTTTTTTGTATTAGCAAACCTCTAGCAGCCGGCAGAGAACATCTGTGATCAAGATGAAGAAAAAGGTTAAGCCATAGTGAGCCGGGCAGTGCCAATAACTTAATTCTGACAACTAATAGATGAATCCGGTTCAGGTGAATTTAGCAAGGTGCAAATTTTAGAATATCTGTCTCGTAATGCAAGATGAAGGTCTCTTTTCTGATTAACCTGTGAATAGCAAGATATAACTTTGATGATGATGTTATATGATGTCGTCACAATCGCAATTACAAGACTGTGATTGTAAGAAGGCTATAGCTATGTTCTCATCATGGAACTACCAGATACATGAATGAATGCTAGTTAGTTATATCTCATCTAATTATTTGTAGAAAAATCAAATATGAATGGCATATCCAGGGTTTGTATGAATATACACATACCGGACAAAGTCTGGTGCCAATGGAGTCAAAAAGTATGGGCTTTGCCTTACGTGTTTGTATGTATATATATAGTATTGTATTGTCATGTTTTGGTTGAAGTTCATGCAATTGTGGTTCAATGTCCAAGCAGGATTATGTTGGGTAGTGTGACAAACTATGTGTTGACATACGCACCGTGCCCTGTTACCGTCGTCAAGCAGTGACGCGAAGCCAGAAACATCGTGGAGTGCATGTCATGTGTGATGGGAGAATGAGCTTAAAGAAGGTCGTCCTGTGAATTTGGAATAAAATATTGCTTGATGAGACGGATGAACGAGAGAAGTTCCAAGTTTTATGTTGCTTTGTAATAATGCAAACCGTGGACGCTGGTTGACTAACAATAATGCAAACTGTCGAGCTGCATCTCCTTATGTCTGCGAGATCGTGCTTGCATTTATGTCTCTGGCTTTAAACATTGTTCTTGAAGCTGCGTTGATAGTTTAGCAGTACGGTGTTCAAACACAATCATCGGCCTTCCGGGACAAAAAGTATTTAGCAGTACTTGTGCAAACATGATCGATTGATTCCCTACTAAGACTCTAATACTCTGCTTTTGGAAAGGAATAGAACAAACCAAATGGAGTAGAATTAAGCGTAGTTTATATTCACAATTTCATGTGTACGTTTTGCATTAAGACCACAACTTAACAAGTAGTAGTTGATCAAACTGAGGGAGGAAGATTATGGAATTATGAAACGGCACTGCCAGCGAGGAGATCAAACTGAGTGGAAGACCATTTATTACAACTCAGCACGTATGAGATATAAAGATAAATTATCTACAGATAGAGGAAGTGGCGTTCGCTAAACACCGTATCCAATTTGAAGTGCAAAAAGGAGCAAAAAGAAAACACAGTTCATCACAAGTAGAAGCTACAAAGCAGTGTTTTCAAGGAACCAGGCAGTGGTTCTTAGGAGTTGACGTGGAAAACTTGGCAGCTTGGTTGGTAAGAACTCTTGGTTGAAGCTTGCTCAAACTTCTTTATGGCAGTTTCATTCTCTTCGAATCCAGTCTGGATGAAATAACGTCTCCACCAAGACAAACTCCTAAATTTAGCCTGCACAAGTATACAGCGAAATGTAATGGGAGTCATACATATTAAACCGCAACGGTCTACAGCTCTACTTGAATGAATGGGTGCGACAACAGAATGATTATGTGTAAGAAACTAGGAACTATGAGCAAAAGCATAGCTTAATTGATTTGCGAATGGAAAAAAGCAATCAAATAATGATGATTCCTATACAGATAGATATGCATTTTCCCAAATCCAATCTGATATCATGGAAAGGGCAAGAAAAGCTGAGAACATTTGGAGCTTCACTTCAGAACTACAGGTTGTAGTTTACTTTCCTAGGAGTTGCTAAAATGTAAACAGAAAAAAACAGTAAGAGATTACTTCCATCACTCCATTAGAAGCCAATATCAAATTCAGCATGATATAAGAAAATTCTACTGTATCAGGAATAATATAACAGTAGCTATGCCAAAAGACCAGGACATATATGCCATTTTTCTAAACCATCTATACTCCTCATCAATTCTGATAGCAATGATAACGATAGCTAAAATGAAACAAGAAATACAGTTCCATATGAATAAAGAATACACATTACTAGTCCATAGTCCAGAGGACAGATGATATAGGTCTTTGACAAAAAAATCAGAAGAGAAATTCAGATTAATTGCTGAGTCATACCGGCCTTCCAAATTTTGAAAGCTCCGATACCTTGACTCTCTGCTGACCTGGGTAACCTAGAAATATCATAAACAGTGATGAGAAAATGAATGTACATTTAGATACCAAATGATCTTCTAGATATCACACAGCAAAGGAAAAATCATTCTTTGCAAGTGTCTTCCATGAGCCTTATTTGATGCTCGATTTAAATTACTTGGATCCAGCAACAAGTACCTTTCATGTTTCGATAAACAAACGTTGATCTTTTATTAGCAAAAAGTTGTCTGTATTAATCACAAATGATTTATATCTGGCCCAAAGTTATACTTACTACCTTCAAGAGAGTAATAACACATTTTTTATACTATGTATATTTTTTACCAACAAGTAATTCTTACCATATGGATACATACATATAAAATCAAGCCCAGCTATGTTCAAGGCCAGCTTTTTATTCAAGCCAAGTTCAAGCAGTTGATGAACAGATTGGTTCAACCTCAATTGCTGTCCCTAGTTGGACAATCATCAGACTGTAAAATTCCAGTTGATGGATGCCAATTTATACATGGATGCATCTATGGATTGCTTGCTAATATGAATGTACACACTATTGTAAAGGTTGTTTCTGAAGAAACAGTGCATAATAGACAAAAATATCATTTTTCACTGCACTATATAAATGAACTTGCCTGGTCTTTTGTGGCACAAGGCCAAATAAATATTGCTCGTCTTACACTGGACAAATATGTCCAAGACACCTTAAGTGTTTGGATGTACCGATCCATAATAGTATATTCAAGTAAGAACTGTATATAAATTTTCAAATTATTATATGAATAAAGAGAAAAACATAAACACAGCAAACAAATATAATAACCTCCGACTGGAGTCTTCACAGCTTTAGGCTCAGGTTAAATGCAAAAGAGAACAACTTGTCCTTTATACATTAGGTCACAGCACATATAGAAATTCTTCAGTTATGCATTAGTGCAACGTATTACAAAGGCAGCCCAGTGGACAGTCTCTTGCTAATGCATGGTTTAGGAGGATCAGTATATGCAGCCTTACCGCTGCAGTTAATCCCACAAGCAAGGAGGCTGTTTCCCCAACTTAATTTAAGTCCTTCCACATCTTATGATCAAACTAAAGAAAATAAAGTTTATGAATGCTATAAAAAAAAATATATTGGTCCTTTCACATCTAAATGTGCCAACATATCATATTTAACTTAACTTTCAGTGACTGTGTACCTAAGTCCACAAAAAAATATTTTCGTATTAATAACTATGGTTGTTTTTCACTTTTTCAGTTTTGTGCCCAAAATAGATTAATTTTATGGCTTTCTTGACATATGCCTTACACAGAAAATAAACAATAAGTGGATGCATTGTACTCCTGAATGTAGCTAAGGTAATGCAAAATTGTGCTTTCAACAGATACCTTATTCTGATTTTACTTGACCAGATTTAGATAAGAATGGGTGTCGCTGATAATTACGAAACCCCTCTGGATGAATGGCTTGGGGCACATGTATGCATTACTAAACTACAATGCAAGTAGATCTAGTGTTCCTTCTGTACTTCTAAAGCCATTAATGCTTAAGTGAGCCTAGGTGCTAGTGAAGTACAAAGAATTACCAGCAAATATAACAAGACCATCTGCTGATACCCTTGCCAGGTCTGGAAGGGTCTTGTTGAGGTACTTTGAGGATAAGTAATCCAATGAATCTGAGACAATAACAAGGGAAAATGATTTTGGCCTGTAGGGTAGAGGAAACTTGATATCAGCTAAACGCACAAAGCCTTTCCGGACAAGGCTCTTGCAGCTACTATCGGCATCTTCCAAATCATACGGTTCCACACCCCAGGCTTCGGTATCTTCTTCTTTCAGCAACATAGAAACAACTGCACAAGAATCAGGACCTACATGCAAAACCTTCCGCATACTATCTTTATAAGCTTTCTTTAAAATAGGTATTGCCTGTAGAACATCTGATGTGCAGGAAACACCTGTTAATATGAGGAAAAAAAAATCAAAAGAGAGAAAGACCAATCCTTATGGACATGTATATACATACTTTTGCAAATTAATAGAAACCATAGCATCACTCACATGAAAACATAACATAGAAGAACAAATTCTGGACACAGATATGACTGCTAACCACTAGAAATTCAGGTTGTTTGCCAAACACTGAGGACAATGAAAAATAACAGCAAGGGGAAGCCATCTCAGTTCACCAAGAATGTTTCGCCAATCCATATTTGATGCGTGATAGCTTGAAGGCTGTGTTTATAGGGCCTCTAGCTAATTTCTGCCTTGATATGTACATTCTCCAATATAACATAACATATTATATCCCCCTTTTGCTAAGTCTTATATAAATTCAGGGGCATATCAGAAAGCTTCCCCTTGATTGCATAAGCTACCCTTTAAGCTTTAGCTTCAATCAATACAAACTTTAAAGGATTGATGTCAGACTGATAAACATTTTATAGTTTCCATGATCTTTAAGCAGTTTTACTATTCAATGTTGTGCTCTACAGTGAACGCTATACTTGATGAAAAAGGCTTCCATTAAAAAGATCTAGATTAATTCAATTATTTATGCCATACATCTTCAGAAAAACCAAATGTAAGAGAAATTATTTTACTTCCATGTATCATAAACTGTTAGGCCCATTTGTGATGTCCAATGTTTTTGTCATGTCTATGAACTAAGGATACGAAACTAAATAGAGAGTCCATGATTCAAAACATTGGAAGCTGATAAAAGAACTAAGCTAGCAACATTTTCTCAAAAATAAAATATTATAAATAAAAATATGAGTGAAAACATCTGAACAAGAACCGATAATCATGCGATCAGATAAAAGAATTTTCAGTTTATGAGGGGGGAAAAAGGTACCTTGACCGCTGCTTATGGCTTCCTTATTACCTCCAAATCCACCTGGTAATCGAAGGGGGGGAAAAATAGCTTGTTCAAGCATCATAATTTGGCCAGAGAAGAATTTAAATGAGGGGATTTCGTGTCAGCGAATAACAAGCTCTACATCTCAAGATATGAATCAGGAATCTAATTCTTCTCAAAGTTGACAGGAAAGTAGCACGTACCTGAACCTCTGAATAAGTAAAATATCAGACATAATACACCCTAAAATTGCAGAAAGGAGAACTCATCAGATTCAATAATGTTTGCGAGTGGTGCATTCGCGTCTGCTAAAAAGCAATGTGTTCCAAGATGAAGAACATACCAAAAGAACCAATCCAGCAGATAGTAAGGGCGAGCTCCGCGACTTTTGATGCAGGGAAGCAATAAGTGGAATACTCCCACTGTCAGTCGCACGTCGAGATGGATTGATTGCTCGCCTTGAGGCCATACCTTCGGTCCTTCGATTCCAATAGAATCGCAAGCCCTAACGCTAATCGAAATAAGCAAAAGAAAAGACAACAAAAACAAATCATTAGGATCAGCATCAACACGATTCCATAAAAGAACAGCATCCAGCAGCATATCAAACACGCCCAAACTAACAACTACAAACTCCATAAACAAATCAAGAATAGTTGCAGAACGACTCCAACTCGAGACCCAATGTGAAAGATGCATGAACTTAATCGAAGGAACTACGCTCCAAGAACGAGCAAAAAGGGTCGAATCCGGGTCGAAGAGAACACGCGATCGGTTAATCTGAAGTCCTGAACGCGAGACGAAACCCCAGTAGGACATA